TCAGCCTCTTGGAGAAGACGTCTGTCCATTTCTTCAGTGAATATTTGCCCAGTGTCTTCTTTGTGCCAGGCACGGTTGTAGGCCCTGGAGGTACAGCAACAGACAAGACGAAGTCTCTGCCTTCATGAAACTAACCATTTAGCCAAGGCTTAGCATCCCTTACACTCAGGTCAACTTCTGCATTTTCGAAATCTGTTTCAGACACACATTTGACAAGTAAAGAGGTTCCAAAAATATGTTAATAAGGATGAAAATGAGGCCATTCTGATATTCCATTGCGCTGCAAAAATGTTTAATATGGTAATTTAGTATGGAATGAGTGTTGATGGTGCCGAAGGTGGTGACATTCTGTTAGAAAATTCAGTGATTTCAAAGAAGGTCTCAGAGCTGCCTAGTTTGTAATTAGATTTTGTGAAGAATCTGTGTTAATTAGGACTCTGGCTTGTGCATGTACACTGGGACGAGACTGGAGTTAGAGTCTTTTCCATGTTGATGGCAAGTAAATTAATCTCCAAGGAATTGTAAGAGACTGAAATATGAGGTTTTTGAGTACACAGTGCATGCACGCACACAAATGTGCATGTGCCTGCATACATGTGCACGCATGCACACACACACACACACACACACACACACATACTCTAGCATATAGCAACTTTTTGCTACACATGATTTCCAAAGTGTCTAAATTTACATGTCTTCTGAATAGGAGGAAATTAGGACTTCTGTCTGTTATATTCCTTGGCAGTCTCTTGGCCTCATCTGGGCTGCTGGGGCAGACTGAGGCCCACAGAGAACCAAGGATGCCAGTCTGGGTCACAAGGGCTTAAGGAAGCAGCAGACAGTTGGACTGACTGGGGTGTCCATTAAGAATCCAGGGGTAGTGAGAATCTTACCCGGAGTTTCAGGCGGGTTGGATGAGGCCACACTTCCACTGCCAGGAGTCTCAGCTGAGTGGCTGGAAGAGACCTGTAGGAGCCATCCCTCCAGTGTCTATCAGAGGTCTCTTCTCTGTTTTAAACTCATCCTAGTGATCCAGGGAACACCCTTGACTGGGGTGCTGATGATTGTTAACAGTGACCATGCTCCCACGGCTGCTGCTAGAGATGAAGGGCATGATGAGAAGACGTACAAGAGCTTAGCTGTGCCCCACCAGCCCTGCCACTCCCAAGCTGCCAATCTTAGTCACTCACTTAACTCACTGTGCCTGTTTCCCCACTTGAGAACTGGAAATGATAAAAGCACTTATTCCCTAGGGTAGGTATGGTTAAATGAGACCCTGCACACAAAGAGCAGAGCACCGTGCCTGGCACACAGGAGGCACCTAATAAACGTCAGTGATGTTGCTACTGATAACGCTCATTTGCTGAGGGTCTTCAGTGGCTCAGGCACAGTACTCAGTGCTTCACATGTAGGATATAATTTATTCTTCACAGTAGCCTGAGTCGCTTTGCTTGTTCTTCTGGTTAATATCCTAATGTTTAGCCAACTGTCCTGGATGCTCATGACTTCCAAAGGATCTGCATGTAACAAGGACTCCGTATCTATTTTTAAAAAATAAGAGCTTTATTAAGATATAATTTACATACCATAAAATTACCTATTTAAAATGTACAATTCAGTAGTTTTTAGTATATTCACAGAGTTGTGCAATCATCATCACTATCTAATTGTAGAAAATTTTCATGACTCCAAAAAGAAACTATATCCATTAGCAGTCACTCCCCATTTTATCTCTCTCAGCCCCTGGCAACCATGAGTCTACTTTCTGTCTCTATGGATTTGCCTATTTTGGGCATTTCACATAAATGGAATCATATGACATGTAGGTTTTTTTATGTGTGTGTGATTGGCTTCTTTCACTTAGCATAATGCTTTCAAGGTTCACTCATGTTGCACCCATATCTATTTTGAATGAAGAATGAAGACAATCATCTGAGACAGTTGTATTAGTCCATTTGGAAGATGAGGAAACTGAGGCTGAGAGTGTGTATGTAACTCATGGCCACCCAACTTGAAAGCACTTGAACTGGAATTTGTGCCCAGGTCCGTCTTGGCTCCAAGGCAAGACCTTGGGCTTCTCACCCACTCACTGATCTCTGGTTGGATTTCTGCATCATGCTGAACACCATTTCTATATAGATGGATATGTCCCACTGGATGTGGACATCCTGAGGAATTGCTGTGGTTGCAAGAACACTGATATTTTTCATCTACCTTGAGGAGGATATGGCTTCGTGTCTGTATACTCACATAGTGTTGAGCAGTCTAATTCTTTTGTGCAATTTCCTAAGGGTTACGATATGAACTTGGAAAGTTACAGAAATGAAAGCGATGGGAGAAATATACTTTCTGGGTTGGAAACCCAGCAACCGGTCACTCAACATGATGGAGGAAATGTCATCCTTCTTGTCTTGTCTTCAATAGTAGATTGTAATGAAACACTATGGTGTCTAAGGTGGCATGCCTCCCCGCCCTACTGCCCCAGTGCTTTTCTGGAGACACGAGATGGAGTATCCCTTCCTCAGTTGTTGTGATAGCACTGGGGATGGTGGGGACAGGTATTCATGGAAGGAAAAGGCCTGGCACCAGCAGGCTCTTGGGCAGGGGTATGTGTCTTCACTTGATCATCAGGGAACGAACTATCATGATGACAGCACATCCTATGAAGTACTAATCTTCCCCCACATTTCCCCAAAATTACTTTGTCCTGCTCTGTTCTCTCACATGCTATTCTAGGGAAAAGGTCCCATTTTATCATTAAAATGCAAATGAGCTTTCCATCTTGCTTCTACCAAAGGAGGAGGAAAATAACCTATATAAACACCATGAAACCTTACTTTGACTTAAAACCAGTGGAAATTGGCCCCTGAATCAGATAATTAGCTGAAAGTACATGAACACTCTAGACCTTTGGTAGCGGATATGTGCTTCTTGTGTGGGAATTTCCTCTGCCGTGGATTTCTCGTGGAAGTGGCCCTGTTCCTTCTCTTGGTTTATGTAAGACTTTCAGCAGCAGCACGTTATGAAGTAGCAGATGTTCCAGGGCCTGTCCCTATCCTCTTGCTTGCACCACTTCAGCACATGCTGGCTCACTTCTGACTGCCAACTTGGCATTTTTTTGCCTTTTTCTTGACTGAGCCTACTTTGCTGCTCCCATGGAAGGCAGGAAGTGTTGGGGAATTAGCGCACCCCAGGAGGAGCTCTCAACCCATAACTGATGGAAGATGGTGTGTAAACACCCCAGTCCCCTCAGCCTTGGGTAGGATAACTCAGGAATATGGTTTGCATGGGATCCCATTTTCCCCTGTAGGAAAAATTCCACTGGGCAACAGCAGTAGCTAGTTTGATACTGCACCTTTTATTGGTTTTCTTGGCTGCCCTCCCAGCCCTTTCTCTTTTCTCCAATTCCCTACTGGCTATTTCTTCACTTCCCAAACAAACCACTTGTGCTCAAATCGTAATTGTAGGATCAGCTTCTGGGGAAACCCAAATGAAGACATATGGTAAAGCTTTCTCCTTTTCTTGCCTCTCTGCCTTCTGCCCCAATCAGTTAGCTTTGAAGATGGGAGTGAGGGGATGCTCAACTTCTCGGGCAGGGCAATGGGTCTCAGGGGACACAGTCCACAGCTGATTGGCAGTTTTCTCTCCAAGACATCTTTCGAACAAGTCCTGGTGCTGGTGAGTGATCCATGCAGCATGAAAAGAGAGGTTAAAGCTTGATGAGGCGTGTTTCAGTCTCATCAAACCATTTTGTTTCCATAATTTTCCTTCTCAGAAGAGGGCAGAATCAAGTACAGTTGATTCTCATAATTTACGGTAATGCTTATGTTTTATAAAGTTGCTGCAATTCAGGAGAATTAGCAAATAATGAACCATTGCTTTTAAGGGAAATTTAGGGTTAGGTTCCTGTGAGCCTCTGATCACAACATTTTTAATATATTTTTTATTTTTTTGAGATAGAGTCTTGCTCTATTGCCCAGGTTGGAGTACAGTGGCACAATCCGGGCTCACTGCAACCTCCACCTTCCGGGTTCTCCCACCTCAGCCTACCAAGTAGCTGAGACTACAGGCATGCACCACCATGTCCGGCTACTTTTTGTATTTTTTGGTAGAGATGTGGTTTTGCCACATTGGCTAGACTGGTCTCGAACTCCTGACCTCAGATGATCCTCCTGCCTCGGCCTCCCAAAGTGCTGGGATTACAGGCATGAGCCACCATGCCCAGTCAGGTCACAACATTTTCATCAAGTAAATATGTAACCTTGTTTTAAGTGTGTTTCTGTTTAAAGACAGCTTGTTTCATATGTATTGTTGATTTGTTAGCATTGAACTCACAGCCACAGCACTGTGACTCATTTCTGAACAAAGTTAGTTATCTAACATACATATTTTCTCTGTAAGGCACCTTATGCCTTGCACTTAGGAACACTGGGTAGCACTTCAGCGTTGCACTTTGGGGTGATTTTAAACAGTGCAGTCACCAACAAAAAAGCACAAAATGTGCAAAACACGGCACTAAAGAGATCACAAAGCAGACATTTGCTTACAGCATAAAAGCTGGAACAAGAAGGCAGAGCATTGCCTTGTTCAGCCTCAGCTGGGGACATGTGCATCGGGTGGTGCACACTTTTTTCACTGCTCTGTGTGTGACAGCGAGTGACTGCAGAACACCAGGAATATTGATTTGATTTTGGGGTTACAAATACATTTTAGCAAGTAGAAGAATTTGCAAATATTTATCTGTGAATAGTGAGGTCAGTTGTCTTTCTTACCTTTTTACAGTAAGACTCTACTTCAATTCAGTATTTTTATTTCATTTTATTTTATTTTTGAGAGCTAGGGTCTTGCTCAGTCACCCAGGCTGGAGTGCAGTGGTGTGATCCTAGCTGACTGCAGGCTCAAACTCCTGGGCTCAAGTGATCCTCTTGCCTCAGCCTCCTGAATAGCTAGGACTACAGGTACATGCCACCACACCTGGCAAATGTATTTATTCATTTATTTTTGGTAGAGACAGCCTCACTATGTTGCCCAGACTGGTCTCCAACTCCTGTTTTCAAGTGATCCCCCTTCTCACCCTACCAAAGTGCAACTCAATATATTTATTAAACATGTGTTCCAGGTTCTTTGATTGATACTGAGATGCCAATGAGATGGTCCCTGTCCTTACAGAGTGTCCATTCTGGTGGCACAAGGAACTCAAATTGTAACACAAGACAGAACCCCTACTCCAGAAGGGAGTGCTGTGAAAGCGTGAAGGAGGGACTTGAGTGTGCGATTCAGGAAGAGCCTCTCATTGGAGGGAGTTTTTTTTAGATAGGTCTTAAGAAACATTTTACACTTTGAACACCTCATACATCATTTAAAATAAAAAAGAAGCAATTGGTCGAAACAACCTCATTTCCCCGGATCAAGTCTGCTAGGTTACCTGCATCTACACCCACCCGCCCTGCCTTTACTCCTCTCTGGATGAAGGGCGTCTTTTCCTATCTAAGGCCATCTGCTTATGCTGGGGACCCCTTCGCTCTTTGAGGCATCCTCTTTTCTCCTGGACAACCGATCTCTCCTTCTCTGCTTGAATATTCCTACTAGTGTACACATGGGCTTCTGTGTCATCCCCCTTGACCCCACATTGCCTCCAGCCTCTCTTCATTCCTTTCACAGCAAAATTGCTGGAAAGAGTTGTCTGAAGTCACCGTCCCTGCTTCCTCCCCTCACATTCTTTCTAAGCCACCACCACTTTTCAGGGGCTGCTCCTTTGGAGATCACTTATGGACATTGCATCACCTTTCTGTCCTTTTATCTTAAGTATCAATTAGGATGCTTTCAGCTACATGTTGCAGAATGTCCTGATACAAGTGGCTTACACAATACGGACGTTGACTGTGAGGAGAGTTATGTTCTCACTGAACAAGGGTGCTCCAGGCTTGGCTTGGCTGTTTCATAACACCTTCAAGGACCCTGTTTCCTGCCCTGCCTCCCTTGATCACGTCGGCAGATATTATGTCGTCTAAAAGCAGGGAAGGGAGTGAAGTGGCCTCTATGTTTTTCTTTTGATCATGGAGGATGCTTTTTTCCCTGCGAGCTCATGCACATTTCTTGTGTATTACCCCCTAAACTCATCCCTGGCAAAAGCGGATCGTATTACCCTTATCGGCTTGGACCAATTAAAATTCATCCCCTGAGTCTGTGAGTGGGACCCATCTTCTTTGAAATGTTGTCATTTAACCAAAATTGGATCTGTTAGCAAGGAAGGGGGAGGGCCTAAGGTGAAAGTGCCAGGCAGTGTCTGCCATATTTTCCCTGACCCTTCCCAGCAGTTTTGACAGACAGCCACTCTATCCTTCTTGAAGAACTATACTTCCATCACATGCTTTGTGACATCATTTCCTCTGGGATGTATTTATTTATTTATTATTAATTAATTTATTTATTTGAGACAGAGCCTCTCTCTGTTGTCCAGGGTGGAGTGCAGTGGTGTGATCTCAACTCACTTCAACCTCCGCCTCTCAGGTTCAAGCTATTCCCCTGCCTCAGCCTACCAAGTAGCTGGGATTAAAGGGGTTAGCCACCATGCCCAGCTAATTTTTGTATTTTTAGTAGAGACAGGGTTTCACTATGTTGGCCAGGCTGGTCTTGAACTCCTGACCTCAGGCGATCCATCTGCCTTAGCCTCCCAAAGTGCTGGGATTACAGGCGTGAGTCCCCGCACCCGGCCCCTCTGGGTTTTCTTTTAACTCTTCTGGCCACTTCTGTTTTCTGTTAACTCTTTCCCCATTGCTCTACCTCTAATAGGTTGAATATCCAAGTGGTTAGACCTGAGGTCCTTCTCGTCTCGATCTGTGGGTTCTCCTGAGTGATCTCAGCAGTCCCTTTGTATCATGTATATGCCGTCACTTCCAGGTGTGTGTCTCTAGTCTTGCACATCCAACTGCCTCGTTGACATTTCATCATGTGTCTTGTGGTCCTCCAACTACAAATCCTAAAACTGGACTGTAGATTTTCCCTCCTAAACATGCTTCTCTCAAGGGTTTCTCATCTCATTGAATGAGTTGCCCATCTCATTGATGGGCACCACCATCTATCTCTGTAGTTGCTTAAAGCCCGGGCATGTTATGTGAGTCCTCTCTTTCCCACCCCTACCATTTTGTACTCCACTCAGCAGTAAGTTCTGCCTGCTACGATATCTAGAACACATCCAGAATCTGTTTCTCTCCATTTCTGCTCCTGCCACCCTCATTCCATGCATCTTTGTATATGGATAGCTGACATGGCCTTTTTATTGGCTGCCTTTCTTCTACCCTTGCTCCCAATAATTGATCCTCTGTGGAGCAGCTGCAATGATCTTTTAAAAATATGAATCCGATTTCTCTTGACCCTCGGTTTAATAATCTCTATTAGTGCCTCTTTCCACTTGGCATAAAATCTGCTTTCTGATGCTGGCCTGCAGCACCCTGAGTGCTGGCTGTGCTGACCTCCTTTCCAAGGCTGGTCTTGAGCCGTCTTCCTCCAGCCTATGCTGCATGTCTTTCTGCCTTGAATAAAACAGGCTTCTTATGATCTGAGGGCCTTTGTAGGACCTGTTTTTTTTTTTTTTTTCTCCTAGAATTGTCTTCTGTGCAGTTTTCATAGGATTGGCTCCTCCTCGCCTCTGAAATCTCAGTCCAAATGTCATGTCCCCCAAGAAGCTTTCTCTAACCACCCACTCCTGCTGGGCACCCTCTGTTGTAGCATACTGTTAGGATTCTCTGCATTATGCCTCTAACTCCTTGAAAAAAATTTCCATTTGTTTAGTAAACTAAAACTAAAAAATTTATAAATAAAATTTCGAAATTTTAAAAACACTACAATCATATCTCCATGAAGTCAAGGAGGGGAAAAAAAAAAAGAAGAAGAAGGAGAGCTTAATTAGCAGCCCTAAAGGCTCTACAACAACTCGAGATAATGATGATGATGATGACGATGATGATGGTGGTAATGACAGTGAGGACTAACATTATTGTTTCTATGAACCTGGAAGAGTGCCAGGCGTTTTGTGTACATTATCATATTTAATCCTGACAAATTAAATGTCCTGACAATGTCTTTACTGTCAGGGAATGTTATTCCCATTCTCAGAATACTGAGGCTTCGGGAGGTCAGTCAAAGTGCCTGGCACATGGTGGCTTTCAATTAATGCTTGCTATGTGAGTAAATAAATTTCCACAAGGTCTTGGAGCTAGTGAACAGTAGAGTTGAGAGTCTAACTTAGGTCTGACTGATTTGCTCAGATGACGAGAGAAGACCCCTTAACAGATTGAGAAAAGGAAGTCTAATATAGGATACCTGATTTCTTATTTATTTAAAACGTATGATAAATAAAAGTAACGTTCAGTCCAAAACCTTCTGTATTTTGGAAGTCTGAACTCCGTTCATTCAATTCATTTGAAAGCATAGGTGGGTTCTTTAAAAGGAGCATTAGGGATGAATCCAGTGATGAGTGCAGTGAGAACCCCACTTGAATGATGTAGTGAGCAGGTGCTTCCTCAACCAAGTTTCATGTTTGGCAGGCTAGTAGAGCATCCAGTGTTCAGATGTTTTCTGGACATGTTGGCTTTTAGTTTCTTCTATTATGAGACATATGTTTAGTCCTTGTGGTATATGCTTAGTACTCTTGTCGGCTAATTGAGACCTCACACGACATCAAGGACATAGTCTTTGCCCTTGCTGACTTCACAGTGTAATTGGAGTGGTGAAACATACATGTGAATAAATGCAATTCACAGGTAAAAACAGTTAATGTGATTGATGAAGAACGTGTGGCATGAGATGGGTAAGAACGAGAAGTAGAAGTGGGTGGTTTTGAACTTTCATTACCCAGGGAAGGTAATATATGTGGATTGGTGGAGAAGAAAGGGGAGGAAGATGGTTTTAAACACTTGTAAGATGGTGCATATTTGTAAGTTTTGCCCAAGGGATAGAAAGGGCTGAGACCCACAGGGGAGGAATGAGAGGGGACTTTGGCAAAGAGAATTAGGGAAATGAGAACTATCGGTAGAAGAAGTGAAATTAGGCTGGCTGGGAGCTCTTTGGGGGTTTCTAAGAGCTAATGTTACATGGAGGAATATTTGTGAGGGATAAATATTACAGTGGGTGCATTCGGGAGCGAAACCAAATTCAAACTGGACATATCAGTTAGGGCAGGGTTTCTTAAGCCTCAGCCTTTCCTGTGCCATCTTCACTTTTTAATTTTTTGGTGGCTGTATTTAGATATCAGCTGTATCACTATATACTTAATATTTTTCTGTAAGTTGACTTCACTTTTAAAAACTTAAATTTCGCTTTGCCCTATGCAATAAAACTTATCATTGTTTACTTAATGTTTTCCTTTACATTTAACCCCTTAAAACTTAAATAAATATAGCCTTACCCCAAGCACTAGTACCTATGAAGTCATAAGTATTCTGTGCTAGTTCTATTTTTTCAAATGCACATTAAATTAAAAAAAGGTTTTGTCTGTGCGTTACCTAATGCTATCTTGTGTACCAACTATGGTTCATGTGCTACACTTTTGGAAATACCCAAAGCACTGTTATAGCTTTCTAACTGTGACATGATACAACTGAATAAATGTGAATCAGCTACATTTATTAGATGCTTACTGTGCGTAAGCCCCTGTGATAGAGGAGATGAAAATATGATGCAGTCCTTACTCTTAATATATTTGGAACAAGCAGGGAGAGAATGGCACACCAATGAGAAGGTGAGATGCAGGCCCGGCAAGTCCAATCTCTGCCATGTGGAGCAGCTTTTAGATAAGCCATCTGGTATCAGCTCTGCCAGTGGTCAGCTGAGTGAGCGGCCACTCTGGAACCCAAGGGTAAGCTCTCCTCAAATTCAGTTCACTTCAACAAGTATTTGCCAGATACTATATGATGCTTTTGCAGATATTAAAGAAATTGAAGTGTCTTAGCGAGTGTTAAACCAAAGTATGAAGAAACCAAAGTATAAAGAAACCAAAATATGAAATGGGAGGCAGAATGGAATAAGGATTATAACAGAGATGCAATGACATGTATTCAGCACTTAC